TTCCTTTTTCACGTAGAAGTTATAAAGCTTTTATACACACCAAAAAATTATGATGTTATATTTAAAAAATATATAACGGCAAAGTTGCGCGATCTAACATCATTATAACATCAATATAACGTCATTATAACATCAAAATGATGTTATATTTAAAAAATATAACATCCGTTTTCAAGATATAACATTAATATAACGTCATAATAACATCAAAATGATGTTATATCTGAACAATATAACATCATTTTTCAAGATATATTATCAATATAAGAACAATATTTATTGTTATAATGATGTTACATCTTGAAAAATGACGTTATATTTTTCAAATATAACATCATCTTAATGTTATAATAACGTTATAGTGATGTTATAATGGTATTAGTTTACGCAACTTTGTCGTTATATTGATGTTATATCTGTATTCGTTAATAACGTCATGTTAAAAAAAAGTTCTTAAAAAATTAGAAGTAAAAAATAATTTGAAGATTTATTCGGTTTGAAATAAGCGCTATAGCTAAAATATAAATACAATATTTAAATAAATGTAACACTATTTTACTCATACAATCTCAGTCAAATCACAAACATATTCATACAAAGTATATATATGTATATATATATATATATATATATATATATATATATATATATATATATATATATATATATATATATATATATATATATATATATATATATATATATATATATATATATATATATATATGTATACAATCTATGTATGAATGTATACAATCTATATATGTCTCTCTCTCTCTCTCTCTCTCTCTCTCTATATATATATATATATATATATATATATATATATATATATATATATATATATATATATATATATATATATATATATATATATATATATATATATGTATATATATATATATATATATATATATATATATATATATATATATATATATATATATATATATATATATATATGTATATATACATATTATTTATACACCTATTAAAAATTATCTATATACCTATAAATAAATATGTGTATATAAACATATGTATAATCTATATACATATAAATAAATAAATATATATATATATATATATATATATATATATATATATATATATATAACATATGTATACACGTATACATATTATATATACACATATACATGTATAAATAACATATATAACATGTATTTATATAAAAACACATATACATATTATGCATACACTTATACATGTATATATATATATATATATATATATATATATATATATATATATATATATATATATATATATATATATATATATATATAATAATATATATATATATATATATATATATATATATATATATATATATATATATATATATATATATATATATATATGTATATATATATATATATATATATATATATATATATATATATATATATATACATATGTATATATATATATATATATATATATATATATATATATATATATATATATATATATATATATTAGCACTTTAATAAACCATATTTTTTTAAATAGTTGGTTGCTTTATGTGATTTGCAAACAGGGGCGGACTGGCCATGTGGAAGATGTGGACTATTCCACATGGGCCGTTTTCATAATCTCAAAAAAATGTAAAATTCAATAAAATATATAAAAAAATAATTTTTTTTTCTCTTATTACTAACGGTTATATACTACATTAATTTTGCCTATTTAACATTATTCAATTTGTTAATGTTACGATAAAAGTGTAGCCAGACGCAATAAATTATTTTTTTATATTCATTAATGTTTATATTCTTTAATAATAAACCCGGGTTATCTGTCTCCACAGAGCTCCGTTTCTAGCCGTCTATCCTTGTGCCTTTGAAAATGCAAACGCAAATATTACATATTTTAGTTCAGTTGCATTTTAACGTTATTTGAATTGGTGTATGATATTATAGTTTGTATGTGTTGAATTACTTCGTATTCTTCATTTTTTATTCTGCTTTCTGTTTTTTAAAAATAGTAAGTTAAATTAAATTTATATAATTATTATTACTAGAACTATTTTAATTTCCTTATTTTTTATTATTAATAACAGTATTACATATAATGGATAAAAATGAAAAAAAGAAAGTTTTAGGAAGGGACGGAAAAACTTCGTTTACGACGAAAACGCGAATTAGAGTCCGTGGCGCGAACATGTCACACGATTGATAAAATGTTTAAAATACATGAAGACATGCCTTCTTCAACCACCTCTACCAGTTCTTTAATTCATCCTGAACTGGAAAAAATAGAAATTGATCATGTACAACAAAATAAAGAAAAGGAAAAAACAAATGAAGAGAAAGAAAATACAAATAATGCTTTTTTTAGAAAACCTCACAACAATAATATTGAAGAATTTTTTAATTATCATCCGAAACAACCGGTTCAAAACGTTCCATTTAACAATAAAATATATTTTCGTAAACACGATCAGCAAAATCGCCAATGGCTATCCTTTTGCGAAGATAATAACAAATTATATTGTTCAATTTGTCTTGCGTACGGTGGGTCAAACGAAAATATTTTTACTAAAGGTTTTTCCAATTGGGACTATGTTCATCAGTACATTGAAAGACATGAAACAAGTAAATTTCACGATGAAAATGTTATGAATCATTTTATGCGCTCAAAAAATACTTTAAACATAACAACACAATTTCGATCATTACGAAAAGAAAATATCATGTTCAATAGAAATGTGCTAACCAGAGTAATAAATGTAATAAAATTAATAGGCAAAAGAGGTTTAAGCTATAGAGGAAAGAGAAACGAGAGCCTCTATACATTTGATGACGATAACGTAGATCATGGCACGTTTATAGAAATCATTATTTTATTAAGCAAATATGACGATACACTGAAAAATCATTTACGAAACTGTATAGAAAAAAGTAAAAAAATTCATGAATGTGGAAAAAGACAAGGAAGGGGTAACTTAATTAGTTTTTTATCCAAAACTACTGTAAATTACGTAATTGAAGCAATTTCTCAATTAATAAAAAATAAAATTTCACAACAAATTAATGACTCTGGAATGTACAGTATCCAAATAGACACTACACAAGACGTAAGTGTGCAAGACCAGTGTGTGGTTGTTGTGAGGTATATTAATAATAATAATATTAATGAAAGACTTTTATCCACCATTAATATGGATTCATCGACTGGTGAATCATTTTACAACGTTGTAAAAGAACTTTTACAAATTAACAATATCGATATAACAAAATGTATAGGTAATTCTACGGACGGTGCAAGTAATATGCAAGGCAAATATCAGGGTTTTTCTGCTCACATGTTAAAGTCAAATGCTGAAAATGTGCACGTATGGTGTTATGCACATATTTTAAATTTAGTTATATCTGACATTACTCAATCTTCCATAACGGTTGCTACATTATTTAATTTGTTAAATTTAATTGCTGTTTTTATTAGAGAATCATACATCCGAATGAATATGTGGAATTATTTTAATAAAGATAATAAAAGAAAGAAATTGAATATAATTGGAGAAACACGATGGTGGGCCAAAGATGCTATCCTTAAAAAAATATTTGGTAACTATAACAACTCCAAAGATGGATTATTTGTGGAATTAATACTGACGTTAAATGAAATTTCTTTAAAACCTAATTTTAAAGCAGAAATTCGCCAAAAGGCTAAATATTTTATAGATTCTCTAACAAAATATGAAACTATATTAACTGCTAAATTATTTTTAAAAATTTTCGAAATTACAACGCCAATTTCCAACTATTTACAAGAGAAAGGTTTAGATTTTATTAAAGCTTACAATATGATTTCCTGTGCAATTCAATCTCTAAAAGAAATATCAAGAAATTTCTGTGTAATTAATGAAGTTTCGGATGAATTTGTAAATTATGCCAATAATAATTTAGATGAAATGGAATGCGATGTTATGCTGGAATCTAAATTACCAGAAATTAGGCGACGTCAGAAAAAAATAATGCCCGGAGAAAAAGCTTTGGATGAAACTGCTTCGAATGCGTTGAAGAATTTTGAAGTGAATGTGTATAATTTTGCTATTGACATGGCTGTTCAAAGCATGGAAAATCGTTTTTCAAAAAATCAGTCATTTTATTATGACATAGGATGTCTGGATCCAAAAAATTTTACGGAACCTACTCCCAGTAACGCTTTCGAAAAATTAAGCAGTGTTTTAATAAAGTTTAACCCAATTGCAACAAAACAAAATCTTATTGAAGAATTAAATAATTTTAAAAAAAATTGGAATCTTTTGAAAGAAAATGTAAACGACTCATTTAGAAAAGTCTCAGAAGATAATGTAATTAATGATAGTGATGATGATGACAACGACGATGATAATGACAAAACTATTTCGCCCTCTCATTGCGGAGCTTGTAAAAATTGTCCAATTTGTTGTTATAATATTTTACAACGCTACAATATGTTAAGCGGAACATACGCTACACTTGGACAAGCTTATAAGTATTTATTAACTTTGTCTGTGACTCAAGTGTCCTGTGAACGAAGCTTTTCTATTTTAAAATATATAAAAAATAGACTTAGATCAACCATGTCTCAAGAAAATTTAGATGCATTTATGCTGATGGCAGTGGAAAAAGACTTATTAAACAGTATTGATTCTGACGACGTTATTAATCTTGTTGCAAAAAAAAGCAATTTATTGTTTGAGAAATTAATGTTGTAATTTGTGTTTGTATTTTATAATTGTTAATTATCCTTGCTTTACAGTATTATATATTTTTTTATTGTTAAGTACTTTGTTTTTACGTATATGTATTCTAATAAATTTTTTCTGTTCGATATTTATTCATTAATGTATATATTTATAAATTAAGTATAACTTTGTAATTTACGTCTGTTATCTTTGCTGCTTTTCCTCATTTTTCGTTGGCCTACAGGGCCGTTAAAAATATTTTTCCACATCATAATAATTTGGCCAGTCCGCCCCTGTTTGCAAAGAAAAGTGTCTTTCAAAATAATTTCCTGTAAAACACCTAGTGTTTGCGCATAACTAGATGGATATGTCAAGTTCATAAGATAGTAAATGGCAATAATGCAACAAAACACTTCGCTGGCTGATGAAATCTGTGCTTTCTTTAGCTCACATCCATTTCTGCTACAAATCATAAAATTGGTTTCATTGAATACTACTTGTGGACCAGGTATCGATACTCCCAGCATTTCATCCAGATTATCAGACTGTTAAACAATTTTTGAATCAAAAATTTATATTGCAGAGTATTCTATAAAAAAATAATGTTATTATTTACCTGAGTTACATGGAAAGCATTGGAAGAAGACTTTTTACAAGAGACATCACTTTGAAATTTTATTAAATTCAAAAAAACCGACCTATCGGAAAAAACTAAATTGCAAAACTCTTTAGAATTACTTTCGAAATCTGCAAACATGGGATAAAGCCTGCAAAACTAGCTTATAAGAAGAGATGGAGATAATTGCAGTCGAATCAGGATGCTTTTAAATATCTGGGGCTCAAACAAATTCCGATTTAAAATTGCCAAAACTTGAGTTGAAGGCTTATTCTTCTGCAGCTCAATCTGTTAAAGAATATACATTGTGAATACAAATGTAAATATTAGAATACTAAAAAATTATAAAAAATTTACATTAAATTAAATATTTCATATAAATACAACACTAATGATTAGATTTATTGATAAATTTATTTTACAATATAAAGTTTAAATTTGTACAATTAAAAGCCTTTTATATACAAACCTCAACTTTATGAAGTAACTGTTCTTTACTTGAAACAGGTTCAGCTGAATTTAGTAACGCCAACAACGAAGATGATTTTTTGTCCCCCATACATAATGGAAATCGACTTATCATTGAAGATTTCAAACGTGTAAAAAACTCTCTCCTTACCCATTTATCATTGCTTTGAGGCAGAAAATCCCTGCAATAATTAATTAAGGAGGTTTTTAACTGTTTTTCTATATTGTGGAATCTTCAGGAAATGGTACTTTTAAGATCTAAAGAATACAAAATATTTACAATTAAAAAATTTTTAATAAGTAATAAAATTATCCCTAAACAAATATTATTGTTTTTAACTCAAAAAGCACATTTTTAATAATTATAGGGCAAAAGTAATTCTTGAAGAACTATTATTACTGAAATCATAATAATACAATTAATTGCCTATCACTAATAACTATTTTACGTAAATTTATTAAGGACAGTTCCACAAAAAAATAATGTTTATATTACAAAAAATTTAAATTGGGTATTGTTGTTGGAAACAAAAGTATTTTATTTGTGTTATCAAAGCATAATTGAAGGACACACCAAGAAAATAGAAGACTGTCTGGTTCTATATATTTAATACCAGATAAAATTTCAGCTGTGATGTAAGCAGAATAACTTTTAATAATTAACTTTTGCGCTTTGAAAATACGTTTTTCATTTTCTGTTAAAATTTCAAGAATTTTATAGAATTCTAATTTATTTTCATTTGTGTCAGAAACAATGTCACCTTGCTTATAAAATATTCCATTAATGACTGCACTTGAAATCAAACCATCCTTAAACTTTAATTTATCAACCTCTCCATAAACATCACATCGTCTTTCACCAAAAGAATTAAAAAACAATCCAGTTGTTTTTACAATCATTGCTTTGCAAGCTGAATATGGAATGTTTTTAAAATTGAAATGCCTGAAATTTTTTATTACTTGATGTTCAAATGCAAGACAGAGATGCCCACGTAATGAGCCAAATTGAGATGCTTGTGATGGATAGTGTACAAGAAAATGTAGTTTTGGAATAAAACTGTTTGAATATAATTGAAGGAAACTGCAATGATGTGCTTGAATACAAACCCTTAGGTCCTTAATATAAATATCAGTTACTAACGCAGACATAAATAGTTGCACTATTTGTATAAGTTTAACTAAGCATGAAAGATGAGGATCAGATAAATCCATAAATCTTAATAAATAAAAACACAGCACACGAGAGAGAGTTAATATTTGTCTATTACCAAATTGTCCTCGGATTTTAAGTGAAGGTAAAATAATACCAGGCTTTTTAATACCAGAAGGATATTTATATGATTGAAGCCATTGGTTAAGATCAGGTAAGGGAAACTTTTTTGGTATACAGTACAGTAAAAATAGTTCTAAATGTAATGGCACAACCCCTTCCAACAAATCATGCATTGGATCAAAAAGCAACTGCTTGGTGACATCGAAATTTGGAATATCTGATAAAATACTAAAGTTAACAATACCATAATTTCTTGACCATTTTGTTCTATCAGTTTTACTTAACCCAGAATTCAAATCATTTAAACGTATGACACGTTCAGGCAAATTTCGAATCAGACACTCTTCATGTGTTGTAAACTCAATCATTTCAGCCCGTGTAGAATTACACTGCCTACAGCAGCGAACAGTTTTTTGACTAAATCCTTCTTTAAATCCTCCAATTGAATTTGCTGCTAAAGAGTCTTCAGAAAAATATAAAACCTCAGCTGTAACTGTCATTAACTTTCCAGCAATACTTATTTTTACACCTGTATATAATAACTGTATTGTTTCTTTAAAATCTTTAAGTAAAGAAGAAAAATAAATAAAATTTTTAGTAAGCTTACTAAATGTAAAAACTAATGTGAAAATAGATGATGTTCTACCTCTATACTTTCCAGGAATGTTAAGAAATTGAAAGTACATAACCTAAAGTTTGTGTTTCGAACAAGCTTTACCAACTGGATTTGTAATCCCAATACCATCTGCATAAATAGCTAATTGAATATGATGATGTGTATTTGATACCTTCGTAAACTCTTTAATCTCAGGCGATTGTAATAAAAACTCTAGCACTGTCATAAGTGGAACAACTGATCCTTTACCAACAATCTTTATAGTAGGCACAGAAAATACATTTTTAAAATATTTTTTACAAGAATATTGCGATGATAATTTTTTACAGGAATCATTTTGTTTTTTTACATCATAAATTGGGTCAGTAAATAGCTCTTTTAAAGTTGAAAATATAACATCTAAAACAGTCTGAGAACATCTGTACTTGGACTGCAAATGTAAAGCTAACATACCAATATAATCATTATTTAAATCATCAACATTATCATACACTATTTGATTAACTATTATATTAGATTCAGTGTTATCATCAAAAGTATTATTTTCTTTAGTAAAATTAGCAATGTGCTTTTGATAACCATATAAACTTTTAAACTTGGAAAAGCAATTAATACAAAACACTGCGGCACAATTACCATGTAATTTTAAATGATTTCTTATTAAAGTGTAAGTATCTGAAATAAAATGACAATTAGCACAAAAAAATATTACCTTTCTTTTGGTTATTTGAGGTCTATTGGAGTTGGATGAATCTGCAACTAACTCTGTACCACTCTCAGTTTCTATAGATATATTTGTTAATGATGTTGTAGAACAAGCTGAATAATTTTTAATGATGATTGTGATTGATAATTAAGAGAGGGATTGAAGGAGATGTGTTGATCTGTATTGACAGCAGAATTAATTTGATTTCTTTCTGAATTGTTAAAGTCTTTGTGTGTTAAAGTCTTCTTTCTGAACTGTTAAAGCTAAAAACCCGTTTAATGAATAGCTATTTGAAATATCAATGAAACTGGAAACTTCTACAGTCATTTCTACCGATTGCTCACATATTACTGCAGGAAAAGTTGAAGTGTTTACTGCACTACCAAGCCATTTTAAATTTGATATGTTTGGATCATTAAAAGTAGAACATACTAAGAAAAAAAAAAAGTTTATAAATATTTTTATTATACATACACATAAACATACATATAACTACATATACATACATACACACAGATATATATATATATATATATATATATATATATATATACATACATACATACATACATACATACATACATACATACATACATACATACATACATACATACATCCCTCGGAATTAGAAAAAATGAGGTCAACAATATTTCGCTGACCTAAATCTGTTAGAGGTCAGCATCATGTTGGCAAAAAAAATATTCATACAATTATTCAAATTTCAGTACTTTCCAAATTTTTAAAAGACAAATAAAATATATATATATATATATATATATATATATATAAAATATATAAATAAATAATATATATATATATATATAAAATATATATTTATATATATATAAAAATATGTATTTTATTTGTATATATATATATTTTTTTTATAACATTTATTATATATATATAAAGGTGACCATTTTTTTTTCAATGAAAAGGAGGACAAAATTTTTTTTTGTAAAAGTATTACATAAATAAATAAAATACTTCATTAAAATAAAAATATGATAATCATTCTTTTATTCCTTTTAAGTTGTTATAAAGTTTAAGATTAATTAAAATAAAATATCTAGTTAAATTAGTATTTTTCAATTGAGTGGATATTTTTTGCCAATATTTCGTTTTCTAACAATATGCTTGAAATTTCAGAGCAAGATATGTGTTTCATATTAACTTTTACAGTGAGTGCTGCTGCTAGAGTATCAATATTTAATCTCGATTTTTCACTGGTCCAGAAATCATTACCAATTGAAAAAACTCTTTCAACTGCTGCATTAGTACCAGGACAGCTCAACACAAACTCAACACAAACTCAACAATGACTATTGTCATTAATTTTAATATCAGGAATTTCTGTTAATGACAACTCAACACACTTTTCAATATCTGCCTAATTAACATGTGAACTCAAAAAACACCATTGAAAACTGTTATATGCTGTGATATTTTTCTCAGACCATTCTTCGACATATTGGAAGCATGTTTGGTAAAAGTTCTGCACTTCTTTGGTAAATTTATCTCTTACCCCAGGATTTGACTCTTCTAAATTTGATAACTTTTTTTTTATCATTAGAGGAATAAAACTATCTTTAAATCGTGATTTATATTGATTAAAATAAGGCTAACCTCTGCAGCAGATATATTATTGCTTTCAATCTTTTGAATCGTTTTGTGAAATAAAGTTGCCTGATTGTGTACAAAATACATAAATATCTCTGATAATTCATTATTGAAAAATAATTCAAGAATTTTTGGACATTTTTCTAATCTTAAAAAGTATGATCGGAGGGGTTCAAATAATTTTAAAACACGCTCAATAGCAGGTGTTAAAGCAAGCCATCTTACTTTCGAATATCCTAAAAGCTTTTTGTATTCGACATTTGCTTCTTCGCAAAATTGTTTTAAAGTAGCAACACGAACTGTAAAACGACAAAAACACAGATAAACTGTGGTTGTTATAACTTCTACATCAATTGGCAGTGCACATGATGCTGTGTTAATTGCATTTGACAAAATATGCAACCAATTCCTAGTATTTTTTTTTGAAGTAAGTAATGTAATTTTACATGGACATTATTTACTCCTTTCCGTTTTCGCCCACCAAAATTCGTATTTGTATTATCAGCTGTTCGTGCAACAATTTTGGATTTCAAATCATTTTCATTTACAACCCTGAATGGTGTTGTGACAAAATATCAGCAGTTTCACCATCAATAGATTCTAAATTTAAAATATTTACTTAAATGCCCTTGGTAATATTAAAATACCTTACTAGCATTGGATACAATTTGGTTTCATTGTGATTTGAGGCATCAGATAAAATTGTTACAAATCTTGCATTTTTTAAGTCTTCTGCAAGTACTTTATTACAGTAATTTTTAAATACTGATTTAACAATAGCCTCACATTTTGTCCTTGCACATGAAAATTTAGCATTATGAAATTTTTTCATTAATTTACTTGTACAATCCATACTTTTAAAACTTTGATTATGAATTATGGTATGATATGCAAATGTTCCCTCCATTACAGCTAACTGTTTTTCACCCTCAGAATAATTAGATGATTTAAAAAAATCTGTTACTTTACTAGTGGAAGCTGAAACATCTAATGACTTCTTATGTTTGTTGGTGTTTAAGTGTTTCGTTATTGCACTTCTCCCTCCAACTGCAATACAAAATTCTCCTCTGCAAATATTACAAAAAACAATGGTTTCACTCTCTTACATGAGGAAATCAAATTCGTTTTTCAATTGATTATTAAAATGACATTTTCTCTTGTTTGGGTTTACCATTATTTAAATGAAATAAAATTATAATAATAATAATATTAACATATAATATGTTACATATTACGTATAAATAGAATTATGAATTCAAGAATAAAACATACCAACTCTAATTACTTGAGCAAAATATTTGCAAATATTAAAAAAATAAAACACTTTGTACAAGTTAAATTATTGACCCTTGACAATGAAATGAAATAAAAGACCGGTAAATAAAAAGAAGTAATTACTTTTACTCGGAATAACTGTTCAGCTTAAGTGAATTTAAGAAAACTCAAATGTTATTTACGCGAAGCTTAGCAAGTTACTCAAATAATTACTCAGCTTTACGCAAGTAAAAAGTTTAAGAATATTCGAAGAATTTTTGTTTACGTAAAGTTGACCAATTACCAAGTAAATGCATTTATAGAAATCACAATCCCAACGTGAGCCGAGAATAGAGTTAGAAATGGCTTTGACTAGTCAGAAATCACTCATATTAAACAGCTAAGTTGCAATTAGTTTTAAAATAATAAAACTAATTTTAAAAAATCAAAAAGGAGGACAAAAAGGAGGACACAGATCAAGGTAGGACAGGACCAAAAAACGATTGAGGACGATTGGTCACCTTATATATATATATATATATATATATATATATATATATATATATATATATATATATATATATATATATATATATATATATATATATATATATATATATATATATATATATATATATATATATATATATATATATGTATATATATATATATATGTATATATATATATATATGTATATATATATATATATATATATATATATATATATATATATATATATATATATATATATATATATATATGTATGTATATATATATATATATATATATATATATATATGTATATATATATATATATATGTATATATATATATATATATATATATATATATATATATATATATATATATATATATATATATATATATATATATATATATATATATATATATATATATATATATATACATATATCCATAGAGTGTAGTCGAAAGAGCGTTTTGATGTAAAAAAAGTCTCTTACGACTACAATTTTAATTACCTCGTCTCTTAAGAGTCATTTTAGAATCAGGCAGTCAATGGAAAAGACCTTCTCCAAATTGCTTGAATTTTTTATATATTGATCAGAATATAGAGAAAACCTGTTAGGGAAAAAAAAAATTTTCAAAAATGTTTCGTTCACTCGGAATCTGGGCTTAAATATTTGAGATTTTTTTAAAAATTTTTAGAAATTTAGTTTATGCCACCTTTGAACCCATTTTTTTGGCAAGGCAAAAAGTTGCACATAGCTTTTGTAGTTAATATCAGACGTAACCCAAAAGCTCTCTCCAAAAAATATAAAAAATGTTGCGTGACACTGTGCGGTTGGCTAATTATCATAGTTCAAAAGTACAAAATCAATCACTTTTGTCAATTTTCAATCGGAGTTAATTCTAGCGGCGAAGTGTTGCACACAATTTTTCTTTTATGATTTGAAATTATCAAAGGTATTGAGTCTAAAAATGCAAAGAAAGTTATGTGATACCTAAGGCCTATTAATATATTAAGGCTTAAAATTGGAAAAAAATGTTATAGTATACTTACAAAATGAGCTATTACGGCAGAGGCGCTAAGTTTTGTAAAAACATAATCATGTTAAATGGTCAATATAAGATGACCCTAACATAGTTTAAAAAAAAACTCATGTGATCTTTAGATATTAAGTTAAAAGAAAAGGTGCAAATCGTTAAAAATGATTAAGTACGAAAAGATATTTTTTTGGACACACAGATGAGGTTTTCGCTCACAATAAAATTTCTATCATCCAAAATTAGCAATTAGCATTACACAAAACATTGCACGTAATGTTAAGAAAAAATTTAAGCGTTTCTGATTATGATTCAGAAATCATAACAATTGAAATAAATAATAATAAAAAACAATACATGATCAGAAGTGAATTATTTAAATTTACGTCATAACCAAATAACTTGTGGTGATCAAATGGAAGAAGAATCGCTGATATCACGATTGTGGAGAAACAAGTTAGTGGGCGGTTGTTTACTTTACCATAAAAATGTCTTAACTTTATTTTAACGATCTTTAAAATTTGCATAAATAGAGTAGATGTTTTATCATTGCTATTGAGAAATAGGTACTGCATAAATAGAACTTGTTTTTAGTTGAGTATGGAACAAAACAAATATATTTATGAAAACTGTTGTTGCTTTTCAAAAGGAAATTGTGGATCATTCAAAAAACATAAAATTATAAACAAAATGTTCTACATTCATCAGCTGGGAGATGTTGATGTTAAGAAACACCTCATCAACTTAAAGGTAATTATGTATTTTAAATTTACGCAGACTGTAATATAATTTTTATAATTACTTACTTTATAACTTCTCTGCACTAAGATTTTAAGACAAAGTTCTTTAAACAAAAAAAAAAAAGTTTTTTTAATTAATTCCTCACTCTTTTCATAAATAATCACTAAATTAATCACACTCTTGCAATATTGTATTTTAATAATAACAACAATGTATTTTAAACTTGTAAACATTTTTTGTGAAGAGTCAAATTATAAACAATGCTTTAAATGACGCACTTAATAATTGTTTAAAAAATTGTTTTTAGGTCATGCGATTAAACGATAATAATATTTGGGAAGAAAATGGACTTATTGCAAATAGACTTAAAAGAAATCTTGAAAAGGATGAACAAATATGTGCTTTTCACCGGTACACGTTTGGTATTGCATGGAGTCCTCCAAAAACATGCTTTCATCTTCACCATCTAAATATAAAAGGAAAAAAATCTCCCGCTTTAAGGGCGTCACCAATACAAGTCGTCATATCAATGTCAAAGCGATACAATGAAGTATTTTCAGTTGGCGCTATGATGTGTTTTACCCATTTAAAGCAAGAAACTGCTTTATCTAGAGTCAACGAAAACACCAATTTATGTACAGAAACACAAACACAACAAAAACAAACATATATGACACCTGCTACTCCAGATGAAGAATTTGATCCCGGTGAAATTAATGTTTCACAGGAGATTTCGGACGAATCTCTAAGAAGCCGTGAGAGTGTAACAGAGGTTCTTAATGCAAGTCCAATAAAATTTAGATTAAAAAGGAAGTTCGAATATCTGGAAGATACTACTAAAGATAAGTTAAAACGCAAGTATGTTCGCCTAGAAAACTTATTAAAGAAAAAATTTGCGGAAGCTGTTGCTCCTGGACAAGAGGAAATACTTATAGATTTTCTTAACAGTAAAAATGTTGATGAAATAAATAGCCCTCTCCCAATTGAAATTATTTGTGCTCAGAAAGTATATAAGCAAAGTGATTCCATGGGAAAGTTAGTTATTCTCTCATTACTAGACCATACTAAGTATACCAAAAAGTTTATAATGAACACATTTGAGTGTACCAAACATCGTATAGAAACAGCAAGAAAATGGCATGCATCTCATAAAGGGTTGGCATTTCCAGAGAAGAAAGTATTCGTCCGATCTAGTCTTGATCAAACAAAGTGTGAACATTTCTTAGACTTTATATTTACAAGCGGTATTTTGCATGATGTTGCTAAGAGAAAAGAAGCGACAGGCAATTATATTCATTAAGATTTTGCACTGAAATGAATTGTACTTTATCATTTGAAAGAGATGCTGAGTTAAAAGAACACATGCTGTCTTCATACAGTTCCGAAATCATTAACATCATTGGATAAAGTTCGCAACTCGTTTGTTCATAAGTTAAAAATTACTTCACAACTAAATATGACAATTTCTTCATCCTCTAACAGTGCTTTCGAAGTTCTTTTAGATTTTCAAATCAGCAGAAGGAACTGTTGTATAAATACTTTATTCGTGGAGAAGAATCAGGTAATAAAATAAGCCCTGAACAGGTTCACATGCAGCTGAGGAGAGAACTTCCGCCTGATCAATATGTAACTAGCCAACAGATAACATCTTTATTTTCAAGGTAGGCATTGTTGCTATCAAAACTTTTGCAAATTAGATTATGTTTCTGACTGTTAAATAGTTCTTTTACAAATATGAAATTAAAATTTAGGTGAAAGTTATAATTTTGTGTGTTTGTTTACATATGTTTAAAAATATGTACTATTGATATTGTTATAGATTTAGTAACCTGAAAAGAAAAGGTAAGCTGGTAGAACCGACAACAGAAAATAATGAAAATAGTCAGGTTAACGATAACAAAGGAGTTTATGGCGAAAACGATGACTTTAATCTGACAGGAGACAATGAAGATGATAATAAATATGAGGAAGACATCGCCAATCTTGCAAAAGAAATTTGTCTTGTATGGAAAATGAATGATTGGGTTGCTGTTGCATATGAAAAACAATGGAATATTGGATATATTGTGGAGGTAATATTGTTCAAAGTATATATTAGTTTCAAGTTTTTATTTTGTTTTACAAAACAGTGCTCTAAAATAAAAGGAATATAAATAAAATGTAAAAATAATTTCAGAATGACATTATATAAGACTTTACAAGTTTTATTGAATGTAAGCAAAATTAAACAAATCATAAACTCTTTATTATATTATTTTAAATGTTGCGCTAATACTTTTAGGTATCTATAACTGGGATCAGAGTTAATTGTATGATTAACGGGCAAGAGAAGAATACTTTTCGCTGGCCAGTTACTACCGAGGAGATAAATAACCAAACTGATAAAATTATCTGTTTAGTAAATGCTCCTTTTCTAATCAGTGGTTGTGGCGATTATTCATTATCCGAAGAAGACTATAATACAGTCATATCATTATTCTTAGAGAAAATTACTGCAGCAGAGTAGAAATTATGTGTGATGTGGTGGATAATGTGTGTAAATGACTCTATTAATAAATAAAAAACTAATTTTTAAATGGAAAAACATTTAAATGTTTGATTTATGTTTTATTTAATTAGCAATATAGTTATCTTGATGTTAGATTTTTGTTCAGTTTTTAATTCATGTTATATCATGCGTGTGACAAAATCACACAAATTTTTTTTAATATTATGTTAGGACCTTTTTGTATTGACAGTTGGATATGTTTACATTTTTACAAAACTAAGCGCCTCTGCCGTAATGGTTCATTTTGTAAGTATACTATAACATTTTTTTCCAATTTCAAGCCTTAATATATTTATAGGCCTTAGGTATCACATAACTTTCTTTGCATTTTTAGACTCAATACCTTTGATAATTTCAAATCCTAAAAAAAAAATTGTGTGCAACACCTTGCCGCTAGAATTAACTCCGATTAAAAATTGACAAAACTGATTGATTTTGTACTTTTGAACTATGATAATTAGCCAACCGCACAATGTCACGCAACTTTTTTGTATTTTTTGGAGAGAGCTTTTGGGTTACGTCTGATATTAACTACAAAAGCTATGTGCAACTTTTTGCCTTGCCAAAAAATGAATTCAAAGGTGGCAAAAACTAAATTTCTAAAAATTTTTAAAAAAATCTCAAAAATTTAAGCCCAGATTCCGAGTGAACGAAACATTTTTGAAAATTTTTTTTTTCCCTAACAGGTTTTCTCTATATTCTGATCAATATATAAAAAATTCAAGCAATTTGGACGAGGTCACTTCCACAGTTTCAGGAATTTGCCTGATTCTTAGAAAAAACGGCTCTTAAGCTGTACTTGATTGTCGTCGAAATTAATTAATCAAAGCAATTAAATTAATGCGGAAGTACATTAAATTTTATTGTTTTTTAAAAATTTTTTAAAAAACCGCAATTATAACGACTAGAAAGTTTTTTTTTTTTTTAGATGTTTTTGTTTTTATTTTATTAAAAAACCTAGCCTGACTCGCAACAGAGTGCTGCTACATCGACTGACAAACAGCCTGACTCGCAAGGGAGTGCTGCTACAACGACTGACAAATAGCCTGACTCGCAAGGGAGTGCTGCTACATCGACTGAGGGTTTGGTTTGGGCAGGCAGTCTATCATTTGAAAAAAAAAAAAAAAATTTAAGTTTTTAAACTTTTTCTGGTCTGGTTTATTAACGCGCTCTTTAAAACTACAGTTTATGGGAAACTCTTTTCAACTACCATGCAAGAGTATATATATATATATATATATATATATATATATATATATATATATATATATATATATATATATATATATATATATATATATATATATATATATATATATATATATATATATATATATATATATATATATATATATATATATATTTATCCCAGCAGGCAAATAACGTTGAAATAACGTTAAACTATCGTTGAAACCTAACGTTTAATTTACGTTGATTCAACGTTTAAAATTAAAGTTTTTTTCAACGTTGATTTATTAACGTTAAATCAACGTTAGGTTCAAACGTTATATCAACGTTGATTCGACGCTAAAAAACGTTACAATAATGTTGAATTTACGTTGATACAACGTTTAAAATGATAGTTTTTTTTAACGTTGATTTATCAACGTTAAAACGACTGTTAAAACACTTTTTCACCATCAAAACGTGCTTGGTATGTCAAAATGTATGTATGTATGTATGTAAACGTGCTATGTGCGGCAAAATGTGACATCAAAACGTACTAAGCTTGTACATTAGTGATGCTGTGCATTATCAAGGTATATAATGGGTATTAATTCTATTCAATGTCTATACCTATACTATTTAAAAATATTTTAGTTTAGTTTGGTTAAAATAGATAGGTATGATTAAAAAAAAAGATAAAACTTGTTTTATTGAAAAATATATCTAAATATTACATACATTTACATATAATTGAATAAAATCTATACAAATTTCTTCTCTTTTCTACCACCTTTTTGAAATAGAGCGTAATTTAGAAAGTAAAACAATGTTCCATTAACCGAGGTTTCTTTTGGATTATTGAATACAATAGAAAAAGCTGTAAATAAAATATATATATATATAAAAAACAAAATGGGAAGATTAAAAAAAATATGAATGGAAAAGTGTTACAACTTATGAAGGTATATCTTTTTCAACGCCATATAGATTATGATGTTCTTAAAGCATATTTTTCCACTTTTGCTTTTCATATCCGCGGAGGCAATATAATTTTTCGAAAATACTCTGAATTTTTAAAAGAAAATATAACTGTTAGTTGGTTATTAATAATATTTTCAAATATTTAATTTAAATAAAACAACCTTATTTCAAAATAAATTATTAATCAAATATAAAACCTTTCTAGCCTTGAAAAGTAATTTTCGGGGTGGCCACATATAATTTTTATAAGAAATTTTATGTGGCAATTTATTATTGGTTTAACGTCCATGTTTATACACTTCTGGGGTTAATGGACAGGGGTTAAATAATGTCATTTTTTATGTTAAATAGCATGTATTTGCTAAAGCATTTTTTTACAATTCTATGCACTTTAAGGCGTTAACCAGTTTTGCAGACCAAGAATTGGTATTTTGAACATTATACTTCCATCAAGAATTAAAAAAAGAGGAGTTAAAGAGGAACTTTGATCTAATTTTTAACTTTTTAGAGGAAAATAGAGGATTTTAGAGGTGGTTTTTAAAAAAAGAGGACTTTAGAGGATTTTAGAGAAGCTGTGGTCACCCTGATTATAAATGAGGTAAGAGTCCGATTCTGTTTTTGATTACCTCAGCATAATTTTTTGTATTCTATCTTTAGAAGACGCTCTACCAATTAATTGTAATTGATTTATCTGTAAAAAACATAAAGTAAATCTAATATTATGTTTGTGGAGATATTATACATTATAGGTGGAGAACAATACAAACCACACAAGTAGAAACCTGGATGCAAAATTTGCATCCAGGTTTTCAATTTTTGAAAACTGAACCTGTAAAATATAACTACTTATTTATAGTATAAATTATAAAAAAAATATACACTTTTGAGCATGAAAATTGAAACTTATATAATCCAAGCACATAAAATTAATACCTACTTGGTAAATAATCAGGAAATTCTCTTTGTTTATGTTTTCTTTTTTGTAAATCAACATTCTCATTATCACATTTTTCTTTTGTAGCTGTGAATTTAAAAAATTCACAATACTGTGTGCTCTCTTTTGGAACTGAAATAGTTATACAAATAACTATATATTTTGTATATAATTATTTCAACTCAATCCTAGGTTTTTTTCATAACTAAGTTTTAATTTATAATGTTGAATTAGCACTGGAAAAAAATTAGCAAACAAAAAATATATATTTCTTTGTTGAAATATATGTAAATATTTCAATAAAGAAATTTTAGATTAATTTTTATAAATATAAAAATATATCAATCAATCTAAACTTTTTTTCTTTTCCGCCAACTTTTCGAAATGGAGCGCATTTTAAGAAGTTAGACAAAATGCCGTTAATTAAAGATTCAGTCGCTCCATCGTATTTAATAGAAAAAGCTGTTTATAAAAAAGAATTAGAAAAACAAACAAAAAAAAAACACAATGAGAAATTTTTTAATATATAAAAAATGAGAATAAAAAAGTTTTACTTATCTTATAAAGGTATACCTTTCACTACACCATATAAATTAGTGCTCTTAAAGCATATTTCCACCTTTCCCCTTCATATTCATGGAGGTCATAAAATTGTTGGAAAATATTCTAA